CTGTGTCAGGCAGCTTGAGTTCTAGATCTTTAAGTGGACTCTGGGCGTGTTATTTAATCTTTCCAGGCAGGACAGTTATTTAGTTGTTTGAGAATCAGACAGCAACTTATTGGCTCCCAGTTCCACATGATAAACTGTATTGTATTAAATTTTTTGCTTATATCTTTGCTCATCTCTCTATATTTTGAAAGCTTCTAGGAATAAAGAAAAAGCAATATAAAATAGGATAAGGACACAAACAGTTAAGAAAAAGATATATAAAAAGGCTGTGAACAAAAGATGCTTAAATTCATTTATATTAAAATGTGTGTTAGTTGCTCAGTCGGGTCCAACTCTGCGACCCCATGGACTATAGCTGGCCAGATTCCTCTGTCTGTGGAATTCTCCAGGCAAGAATATTGGAGTGGATTATCATTCCCTTCTCCAGAGGATCTTCCCGACCCAGGGATCGAACCTGGGTCTCCTGAATTGCAGGCAGATTCTTTACTATCTGAGCCACCAGGGAAGCCTCTTAAATTATATGTTATATTAAAATAACATGACTTAAAACTATACTATTTCTCACCTATGACTAACAAAAATACAAAAGATTGATAACCTACTTTTGTTGCTGAGACTGATAGTTTCATACCTTGTTAGTGAAACTGAAAAATGGTACAACCTATAAATTATCGATGCATTTACCCATTGGTCTAGCAATTGTTTTCCTTGAAATCCCCCTTCAGATACTCTTGCCCAGTGGCCCCCAACCTTTTTGGCACCAGGGACCGATTTTGTGGAAGATAATTTTTCCATGGTCCAGGGGTGGGAGCACAGTTTCCTGATGATTCAAGTGCAATACATTTATTGTCCACTTTATTTTTAATGTAGTGCTGCTACTGATCTAACAGGAGGTACCGGTTCATGGCCTAGAGGTTGGGGAACCCTTTTCTTGCCCATGTAGAAAGGGGACATACATTCAGTATTTAGGATGACATTTTTATAGTAATAAAAATGTAGAAGTAACCCAAGTGATCAGCAATATGGGACAGGTTAAATAAGCTATGGTACATCCATGGGAAGGGGTGTTATGAAATTGTATTTTGCAGAGGGTGCTCACCATGGAGAGATCTCTAGGATATATTGCCACATGACAGAAAGCAAGATGCAGAACAGTGTGTACATTCCTTTTATATTTGTATAAAGAAACATGAAGGTGATATACCTGAAGGGGAGGGGGTGAAAAGGTAGATGGGACCTGGGTACGGATGGGATTTCTCAGGGTGTATCTTTTCCCATAGTTCAGATTCTCAAGCCATGTAAATGTATTGTGTATTCAAATATAGTAATTAAAAAAAAAAAAACCAAACCCTTTAACTTTAGCTTCACAAGGAAAATATTCTCAGTTCCTTGATTGAATAAATCTGAGTCTAATAAAAACCTCTGAAGCAGTAGTCACTTCCGTTAACTCTTCTTCAAACAACCTACCTTGTCAAGAGGCTATGTTTGATGCTAGATTGAAAAAAAATTAAAAATTAATTTAGGATTTCCCCTTTTTTATACTCTAATCCCTTTGGGGAGGACTGGTGTCATTATTAAGACTTTGCTGCCTATAGCAGATGGGTTTTGTTACTATTTTTTTTTTTAATAGCAAGCCTGATGTAGGTTTTTTAGAGACCTGTTTAATCTGAAGTCAAGGTAGTAAACTCCCTTCCCAGTTGCCCCAGGAAAGAATGGAAACCATAAAAATGAAGATCCTGACACCCCTGGAGAACTGAGGCAGGTTCTGTTGCTGCTCTTCTCTTGGGGCAAAGCAGGGTGAAATTCCCCAGCTGACTGAAAGTCAGTGTTAGTCGCTCAGTCATGTCCGACTCTTGGCAACCCCATAGAGGTGTAGCCTGCCAGGCTCCTCTGTCCGTGGAATTCTCCATTGGAGACTTCTAGTGTTCGACCCAGAGATCAAACACGGGTCTCCTGCATTGCAGGCAGATTCTTTACTGTCTAAGGCACCAGGGAAGTCAGGTCATTGAGGAGACCGTATTTTGTTAAATGTTCTTTCCTTGTGTTTGACAAAATAAATGTTGTGTCTTATCCTAGATACACTGTCAATGGTAGTACTGCCTTACTGTTCCCACCAATCTGCTTCTTCCCAGATCCCTCTCTTGATAACTGGCATCTCCATCTCTTCAGCCAAGCCAGGCCCGTGCTGTCTGCAGGCCATGCTGGGGAGTCTCCTGTCTTTCATCAGAAACCTCACATCCAACCAGAGTTCTGGGGAAACCACCAAACCAGCATCTTTTCTGCCCTTACGGCACTGATGTAGTTCAGCATCCTCCTGTGTTATCTATCTCTAACCTTGTTCCCTTCCAGCTGATCTCTTATTTCATGTCCAGAAGATCTAAGTGATCACTCTGATCATACTGCTCCCTGTATAACCCCTCTAGTGGCTTCTGCTGCCCTAGCCCTCAGGAGGGGAGGCACAGGCCTTCAGGACCAAGACTGAGTCTTCCTCATCCTTGTCTTTTGCCCCTCCCCACTCTAGAACTTGGCAGTCCACTGCAGGAACTGATCCCAGAGCTGGCAGAGCAACTCTCGGTCTATCAAAGAAGTGGTGATGGGCATAGCTACCCTAACCCATGTCTCTTGATCATTACAACCTTGCTGGTCCCAAATCTTAGAAAATCTTCTCCACCTGTCCACCACTTCCTGCAAGTGCTGAGCCTTTATAATTGCTTGTCTGCTCGAGGCTCCTCTCAGTACTCCTTTGCTGACCTAGGCTCATTTCTACCTAGCCCACAAAATGCAGCTGTGATGCTGTCTGCTTCAGGACAACTTCTGCAACACTGTGTTTCTCTGCAGCTTGATCTGGATGAATTTTTCTTGGTTCATTCCTTGAAGTAATCTGTGTCAATATCTAGCATAAAGCTTAGCTGTTTATTTCTCCATCTGGTCACCAAACTAGTAGCTCATTAAGGGGAGAGGCTGCCTTTTGTGTCTGTATCCTGAGTGCTTAAACACAGTACCTGGGTATAGTACATACTTAAGAATAATTAATGACTGATTCAATAAATATTTTGATAAGTGAGCAGGGTTAGATGGCTATAAAATAATCTAAGATGAGGTACTTTAGAGAAGAACTAGTGATAGTAAAACAATTTTTAATGTTCTTGAGAAGATCCATGGTAAAGAAGGTGGGTTGAACTATTAATAATTAAATATTCAAGATTATCTCAGCTCTTAAATTCTATAATTGTGTTTTCTTTTTTTTTCATTTATTTTTATTAGTTGGAGGCTAATTACTTTATAGTATTGTAGTGGTTTTTGCCATACATTGACATGAATCAGCCATGGATTTACATGGGTTCCCCATCCCGATCCCCCCTCCTGCCTCCCTCCCCACCCAATCCCTCTGAGTCTTCCCAGTGTACCAGCCTTGAGCACTTGTCTCATGCATCCAACCTGGGCTGGTGTATAATTGTGTTTTCTATGTGATTTCCAGATACCAGGGTACAAGTGTAAATAAAACAGTTCTTGTGCACTACACATTTTAATCTTTCTTGTGCATTAGACATTTTAACCTTTGTGGATAGTTATTTCAATTTGTGCGTTTTTGTGGTAATAATGGTCATGTATGTGTGCACATGTATATGTATTTTGCATATGTACAGCTATGTGCAGTTTATACATTGTGAATTGTTTATAACCTTTGTCCATGTGTCTACTACCATTTTTTAACCCTTGATGTACTTTGCAAAAGTTTTTTTATATGTTTTCTAGTTTTTTGTATTATAAGCATTTTCTCAGTTTGCTATTTGTCTTTCTAAAAGGCGTTTCTCATCCTACAGTTGTACAAATATTTACCTTTTTACTTTTATGGTTTCACTTTTCCTTAAAAACCCACTAGTCCACTGAGAATTTGATCTTGTGTGTGGCATGAGATGGGTCTTCCCAGGTGGTGCTGGTTGGTAGAGAACCTGCCTGCCAACACAGGAGATGCAAGAGACTTGGGTTTGATCCCTGGGTTTGGAAGATCCCCTGGAGGAGGAAATGGCAACCCACTCCAGTATTCTTGCCTGGAGAACCCCATGGACAGAGAAGCCTGGCGGGCTACAGTCCGGGAGGTCGCAGAGTCGGATGTGACCAAAGTGACTTAGCATGCATGCATGGCATGGGATAGGGATCTGACTTTATTTTTTTCCAGATGTTTAGCCAGTTGTTCTAACAGTTTATTGAAAAGTGTATACATCTTCCAGTGAATCTAGTACATTTATATCTTCCAGTGTGTCTTTCTTTTTTTCCCTTCCAGCTGAATCGCTTTCATTTCTGGGTTTAAAAGTAATAGCTAGTCACTTTATATTTATGGACAAGGGAAATCACACAGTATAGAGAAAAAGCACATTAGACCCTTCAAAGAAGTAGTCATAAGTCAGATGCAAATTTGGGTAGTCAGTATGCTGTTCAACAGATATTCCCAGGTCTCTGCCTTCCAAATACTTGTTATTTCGTGACCATTATGATTGGCTGAGGCCATGTGCCTAGTTCTTACAAATTGTGAGTGAATGGGATATGTGTCAGTTTGGGGCTAGAGCATTTAATTCCCGATGTGAGACTTTCCTAGAACTTTATTTCCTGTTGGCTGATGACTGATGATGTTCAAGAGGGTGGCTGCCCCTTTAGCCTGAATCCGTGAATGACTGCAAGGAGCAATGCCTCCTGTACTGGTTGTGCGGTGTGAGCACGAACTATACCTTTTTGACGATAAGCCACTGAGATTTGGAAGTGTAACCTAGCCTATCCTGCATTATACTCATATCCTCTTTCAGTATTTCAGTTTTTTATTTTTTAGACATCAGCTGAACTCAAGCTAGAGGTTTCTCTAAGGAGAAGATATTCTTTCATGAATACTGATTGATACTAGGAAGAAATAAGATAATTTCAGGAAACATCATGAGATAATAACTTCCTATATATATGCATATATATATATTTTCTTTTTTTTCAGGTAACCTGGAGTTCTCAAAATGTTTGCCAAAGCAACACGGAATTTTCTTAAGGAAGTTGATGCTGGAGGTAACCTGATCGCAGTATCAAACTTGAATGACTCAGATAAATTACAACTTCTAAGTCTGGTGACCAAAAAAAAGAGATACTGGTGCTGGCAGAGACCCAAGTACCAGTTTTTATCTGTCACTCTTGGAGATGTACTCACAGAAGACCAGTTTCTGAGTCCAGGTATGTTTCTTTGGTTATATTTACAATTAGTTCCAGATCAGGAGATGATTCTTCTTTTAGACACATGTTGTCTTGTTTTTGTTGTTGTTTAGTCGCTCAGTCCTGTCTGACTCTTTGTGACCCCATGGACTGTAGCCCACCAGGCTCCTCTGTCCATGGGATTCTCCAGATAAGAATACTGGAGTGGGTTGTCATTTCCTTCTCCAGGGGATCTTCCCCACCCAGGGATCAAACCCATGTCTCCTGCACTGCGGGCAGATGCTTTACCAATGAGCCACTGGGGAAGCTACATGTTGTCTTGAGTGATTATAAAGACATACCTTGTAATCAGTTCTCCTGATTCTTTGCTACTGTTTTAAAGACACATCCGTTCTGTTTTCTTTTCTTTTTTATTTTATTCTATCTTAGTTTTGGCTCTGCTGGGTCTCTTCTGCAGTGCATTGGCTTCTCACTGCAGTGGCTTCTTGTTGCGGAGCATGGGCTCTAGGGTGTACAAGCTTCAGTAGTTGTGGTGTACAGGCTTAATGGCTCTGAGGTGTGTGGAATCTTCTCAGACCAGGAACAAAACACGTGTCTTCTGTTTTGGCAGGCAGATTCCTACCGATTGTTCTTTCTACCAGAGGAGTTCCAATATGGCAGTTTTTGGTATAAAAGTACAACATGCCCACTTGTAGATGTTGTGGCTCCTCCATATAAGTGGACTGAGGTTCTGCTGCTCCCAGTTTGGTTTAATATTGAGGTTGATGATGCCCCATATCCATCAGGAGAGTGTGAAAGATTTTATTACTTACATAATGAAGCTTTTCTGGGGAGAACATGGTAGATTCCCAAGCTGGTCCAAAAATAACTAGAGAGAAGAGGGAAAAAGATGAGCTTAGTTGTTTTAGTGAATAGGAGGTATGGTGGGGGTTCTGTATGGGTGGGGCTTGCAAGGTTTCAGTTTCCTGCTGGTGCCAATGAAGAGAGTACCTGACGTTTCTTACCCGATTGCCCAGATGTGTAACAGAAAGGAAAGGAGATAGTGAGCTTGAAACATCAAACATCAAAAATACTCCTCATTATTATAGAGAAGTATTTATAAAATATAGAAAGGCAAGAAAACAAATCAACAAAAATTCCTCCATCAAGTGTTAATTTCCATTATATCTTTTTTATCTCTGCATCTAATTTTTGAAAAATAACATTGGGAACACACTACATGAAATTTTAATATACTCCTCATTTATTTTTTATTTAGCCTTATATGTTTAGATTTCTTAGTATGGTTTAAATATTTCTTAGTACTGTTTTCAATAAGCAGTGTGTATGTATCCTAATTTGCTTAACCAGTCCAATTTAGTGCTTTGTATATAGGGCTGCAATGAATATTTTTGTTGTTGTTTTTCTTTTAAACAATTGTTTTAGCATAGATTCTTTTTTTATTAACATTTTTGTTTTTCTTGAGATATAGTTGATTTACAGTATTCTTTTAGTTTTCAGGTGTATAACATAATGATTCAGAATTTTTATAAATTATATTCCATTTGTCATTGTTATAAAATATTGGCTATATTCCCTGTGCTGTATAATATATTGTTGTAGCTTATTTATTTTATACATAGCAGTTTGTACTTCTTAATTCTCTACCCTCATCTTACCCCTCCCTGCTTCTCTCTCTGCTCTGGTAACCATTAGTTTGTATCTGTGAATCTGTTTCTTTTTTATTATATTCACTGTTTGTTTTATTTTTTAGATTCCACCTATAAGTGATAATATACAGTGTTTGTCTTTCTCTAATTTATTTCACTTGGCAAAATACCCTCCAACTCCACCCATGTTGTTGCAAATGGCAAAATTTCATTCTTTTTTTATGGTTGAGTTTTATTCCATTGTGTATGTATGTGTGTGTATATATATGTAAATATACGCCACATATTCCTTATATATTCTTCTATTGATGGACACCTATGTTGCTTCCATATCTTGGCAATTGTAAATAATGCTACTGTGAACATTGGGGTAGCACAGATTCTTAAATATACAATTACTGGACCAGAAGTTGGGAGCTTTTCAAAGACTTTTGGTACTCATTCCCCACACAACTTTATGAAATATAGTGACGTATAAAAGTACCATCAGCTCTTAATTACTGGGCTAAATGATGTTCAAGTCTTCTTTTAGCTTTAAAGTTCTTTAATTTTGTAATTGCATTTCTCTTTAAAGGGTAAAAGTGACAGAGGAGGTAATTTGAGTTGACAAATAATCTCTAAACTTCCTTCCAGACCAGCATTCTAGTCAGTGCTTTCTTCAGCCAGGCCCATTATCAGAGCTGTCAAGCAATGGGCAAGTGAATTGATTAATGATTTATGTCATGTTTTCCCCCTGGATATTGGGTAGAACATTTATTGAATGGTATAACAACTAGCTATGAAGAAAGGCAAGAGAAAAAAAAAAGTCACAGAGCAGCCCACGAACCACTGAGTGATTGGAATGCACCACTCTGTGCTGCTGGCCTCTTCGCGGTGTCCAGAGAGCTCCCGTTAGATGGTCAGGCCAGTGGCAGTACCTGAGATGAGCAAGTCCCACGTATGCTCATCAGCTGAGGCCGGAGCTCACCCCTGGGTCTGTGTCCTGTGGGTGTTAGGGCTCTGATGAGAGGTGCCCTCTTTGTCTACTGAGCAGGTTCGAAATACCTCACCTTTGTCATCCTTGCCGCTGGCAACAACGCAGGAGTGTTGTGTTGTGTTCCGGGATGTGGAGGTTAGAGGATAGTGACTGAATTGTCCCAGTGACAGCCTGTTGGCTTCCTCACTTTTCCCTTCCACCTGCAGCGGTGGATGACTCAGTGTGGACATGTGCACAGATGACATCTATTTCAGAACGTGTCTGTGTCTCGCATGGCAGTTTGGAATGCACAGACAGTCCTGATTATCCCGGCTGCTATGGGGTCCAGTCCTGGGGTCAGGGTTCCCAGGAGTGGTAATAAGCCTCATGGGGACCAGGACTGGGAGCTGAAGGTAGAGTTTCTATCTGTGTAGCTCTTTGTACAACCCAGGACTGCCCTGTTTATTGGGAACATTGTTGCTCTGGCCTAAACCCAGTGGATAGATTGAGCACTTGCTGTGTGCCAGGCTCTGTATGACATGGTTTAGAGACATCAGCTTCCAGCAGAATCCATCAGGTAGGAATTATTAATTATCTCCAATTTGCATGTGACAAACCTGAGGTTCAGGGAGATGGATGATACCCAGGTCTCCCAACTAGGAACATTAGAGTAGTGATCAAATCTTGAGCTCTTAACAGGTGCTCTATGCTGCTTTCCAAATCAATTCCCAGAATGGTTTTTTTTTTTTTTTGGATTATTTATTTATTTATTTTTCCATTTATTTTTATTAGTTGGAGGCTAATTACTTTACATCATTGCAGTGGTTTTTGTCATACATTGAAATGAATTAGCCATGGATTTACATGTATTCCCCATCCCGGTCCCCCCTCCCACCTCCCTTCCCAGAATGTTTGTATTCTCAAGATGTAAATAGGAAAAGCCTTTGATTAAGGGGCATTTTCATAAACTTCTTATTTTTGGTGGAGACAATCATTTACTTTGTAAATTTCACAGATAATGAGTGGTGATTAATTCTCATTAACCCTGGCTGAGTAATGGGTTTTCTTGACTGGAGTGATAGAAGTATAGGTGTTGGGGGTGGTGACTGCGTTTAAAGAAGCCTTTCAGACTCCCAGTAGACTTGAATCCATGATGAAGTATCACCAGGAGTCCAGGAGAGCCTTGGGTCTGGGAAATGAAAAGGGCCAGTGTAGGTTCCTAAGAGACTCTCAGTGTAGCCTTCCTTGAATGATGGTGACTGAGACTATTTTTATGGTAGTATTTGGCTCAATTAAAAATGAGAACAGGAGACATATAGAGACACGAGAAGGCTAAGATCCTCAGATATGTGTAACTTGGTGTTCGGATTTAAAAAAAAAAGGCAGATCCTCAAGGCAGACTGATAGCAGTCACCTGATATGACCTGATGAGGAACATGGCAATCCCTAGGGGAGCTAATTGAAGCTGGGACACCAGCTGGATGGTGGCATCTTTCTTTATTGTCTGGGAAGCAGAGAAGGAAGAATGGAGAGTCTGGAGCTTGCGTACTCCAGGATGGAAGCAGGGAGGAAGGGCATGCTCACTGACTTTATCAGGAACACAGAGATAAGGAACTGCTTGATACGGATGACTGGGTAGAGGTCAGATATAAATAGCTAAATATGGGGAGAACTGTTTGAATGGAGATGGTAATGAAAGCCAGGGGATTATTCTTCAAGGCCACCAGGGGGAAGGGAAGATGCCTAGGGACAAATTCAGGCGGCTGATCTGCCAGATATTGGGTCAGGCAGGCCACACCCTGGCTGGGTGGGTGAGCAGAGTGCCAGGCTGCTGTTTTCTTTCTGCTTAGGTGTCATCCTCATCCAGTCCCTTCATCCTCAAAGCACACATTTAAAACATACTATTTATTTACCTGGATAGCAGTTAGACAGATGTTTACTTTAAAATTATTCGTGGAACTCTAAAGATATTTTTGGTGCACATATCTATATGCTTGTATATTGGACTTGAAAGATGAAAAAACAAAAAAGTACATCTGGCCACCAGTACACCTCACTCTCTCAGTCAGCGTCCAGGTTCTTTTGTCCTGACAGTGCGGCTGCCGGCTCTCCGTTCTGAGTGCAGACCTCGTGTTTCCCGCGGGTTTCTGCAGGATTGGAAAGCTAGGTGACCTGAAGCAGAATTGGCTGCTTTGTCATCTTGCATGTCTTATTCACTGCAGTGGTCGTGGAGTCGGACTTTGTGAAGTACGAGGGCAAGTTTGAAAACCACGTGAGTGGGACCCTGGAGACAGCCCTGGGGAAGGTCAAGCTGAATGTTGGAGGCAAAGGCCTTGTGGAGAGCCAGTCCTCCTTTGGAACCTTGAGGAAGCAGGAGGTGGACTTGCAGCAGCTCATCAGAGATGCCCTGGAGAGGTAATGGGAATTCTGCTCGGCATTTTGACTTTGATGCGCCTCTCGTCTAAATTTTTAGAAAGTTATTTATTGACTTTTGACTGTGCTGGATCTTCGTTGCTGTGCGTGGGCTTTTTCCAGTTGCGGTGAGTGGGGGCTACTCTCTAGTTGCAGCGTGCTGGGTTCTCGTGGTGGTGGCTTCTCTTGTGGAACACGAGCTCTAGGTGTATCGGCTCAGTAGTTGTGGAGCATGGGCTCAGTTGCCCTGTGACCTATGGAATCTTCCTGGACCAGAGAGCAAACCCACGCCCCCTGCATTGGCAGGCAGATTCGTAACCACTGGACCACCAGGGATGTCCCATGTCTCTCATTTATAGGTCATTCCGTGGGGACTTCCCTGGTGGTCCAGTGGTTAAGACTCTAGGCATCCAATGCAGGGGAGGTAGGGGATCTAAGATCCCATATGCTGTGTGGCCAAAAAAAAGGTCATTTGTATCAGCAAACATTACTGAATGCCCATTGCTGAAATGTGATGAGCAGTTCATCTGTTAGTCTGGACTTGCACTGTTCTTAGCCCGAGCAGGGACACTTGGGAAGCACTTTAAAAGGATGTTACTTCAGGCAAATGTGTACTTTTAAAGAATCATATGATTTATAAAATACCAACAGTGAGAATGCTCTGTTCTACATTTTGGAATATTAATATCAGAAGTGGGAAAACCACACTCCTCTCTCTGGCTCTTTATGATTTTCTGATTAGGGAAAGAAGAAAGCAGGTGAGATACTTCAGGGGAAGAGCTAGTTTTTAACTCTGAAATCTTGAAGACAACTCCACATTGTTTAGATTTCAGTAAATACAATTTACTCCAGTAAAACTGAAACCTACAACTCAGATTGGGACTTGAACCCGGCCAAAACCCATAATGTTCCAACTGAGATCACACACCTGTTTTTAGGACTTAATGAAGCTCAGGTTCTTGATGTCTCATCACAAAGAATTCAGTGAGAGAAAGTGATAGGTAAGAAGTGAATTTGGAGAGAAACACACTCCACAGACAGAGTGTGGGCCATCTCAGGCAAAAGCTGTGTCAAAATATGGTGTGGTCAGCCTTTATGAGCTGAGTAATTTCATAGGCTAATGAGTGGGAGGATTATTCCACCTACTTTGAGGAAGTGGCAGAGATTTCCAAGAGATGGGCTGCAGCCCACTTTTTGGTCTTTGGTTGGCCTTGGGACTGTCATGGTGCCTGTGGATGTCATTTTGCCAGCTTGATGTATTTGAATGAGTGTACACTGAGGCCCAAGGTCTAGTGGAAGTCGACTAGTCCACCATTTTGGACCCACTTGGTTCTAATCAATTTATGTTGTGTCCGCTGGCTATGTCATTTTTTCAAAGGTTGTGCCCTGCTCTCTTCCCTCCTACTTCAAAACAATTTGTTGTTGTTTAGTCACTAATTTGTGTATGGCTCTTTGCAACCCCATGGACTGCAGCATGCCAGGCCTCCCTGTCCTTCGCTGTCTCCTAGAGTTTGCCCAAGTTCATGTCCATTGAATTGGTGATGCTATCCAACCATCTCATCCTCTGCCACCCTCTTCTCCTTTTGCCCTCAATCTGTCCCAGCATTAGGGTCTTTTCCAGTAAGTCAGCTTTTCGCATCAGGTGGCCAAAGTATTGGAACTTCAGCTTTAGCATCAGTCCTTCCAATGAATATTCAGGGTTGATTTCTTTTAGGATTGACTGGTTTGATCTTGCTGTCCAAGGTACTCTGAAGAGTCTTCTCCAACACCACAATTCAACAGTATCAATTTTTCAGTGCTCAACCTTCTTTATGGTCAATCTTTCACATCTGTTTCAAAATGATAATACATTGTTATTTTTACCTTATGTTTCTTCAACATTCCTCAAATAACTGCTGAATGAATGCCTACTACTTACTGTTTTACATGTTGGGGATTCTGAAGTGAACAAAACACCAGTATTTCTGCCCTATATTCTTGGGGGAGAGACAGACAACATGTAACTAAGTGATATATATATAGTATATTGATGGGACTCACCAGAATAGGGGTTATGATTTGAAAAAGTAGCCAAAGAAGGCATCCTGGAGAAACTGGCATCAGAGAAAAGACTTGAAGTTGGGGATGGGAGTGAGTGTAAAGGTGTCTTGGGCAAGAAAGTTGTAGGCAGCGGTGGTGTGGCTGGAGCTGAGGAATCTGGGCAGGAGCAGGTGAGGTCAGAGAGGCCCTGTAAGGACCTTGCAGGCCACTGAAAAAACCTTTAACTTTCACTTGGAACTTCTCTTGTGGCTCAACGGTAAAGAATTGCCTGCAATGTGGGAGACCTGCATTCAGTCCCTGGGTTGGCAAGTCTCATGGAGAAAGGAACAGCTACCCACTCCAGTGTTCTGGCCTAGAGAATTCCATGGAGATAGGACCTGGCAGGTGACAGTCTATAGGGTTGCAAAGAGTCAGTCATGACTGAGTGACTTTCACTTTTCTTTTCCTGAGTGAGGTAGGAAGACACTGGAAGACTTTGAGAAGATAAGTGACAGGATCTAACAGGTTTTAGGAGGATCATTCTGGCAGCTTTAGAGAGGCTGAATGGGCGGAAGCCAGGAACCTACTGAGAGGTTATTGCAATAATCCTGATAAGAGATGATATTTCTAATTGAGAGGTTTTTATAGTAATCCTGACGGGAGATGATATATCCATTTGTACAGAAATATATGTGCATTTTCTTGTGTAGTTTATCACCCTTTTTAAAACAGAAAATGCCAACCCAAATATATTGAGAAAACTCACTCACGTATAGGTAGCTTACCTCCTCTTTTCCAGTATTTTTAGGATTATATGAAATATGTTTGCTCATTGAATAAACTACTGTTTAAAAATCAATAAAAATTACCCTAAAACTCATGTAGCAATCATTTGGTAGACAGACTGTACAGATAATGAGGATGCTTGAGCAACTGAGGTCTTCAAAACCCATCCACCTTTCCACTAAGCTCTGATGCTTAATGGAGTTGAAAGGCAGTGGTTGTTATTTGACTTTTGCCTCATGGCACTTCCTAGAACTCCAGGACTCCATTGCATTAGGACTCGGGGGCAGGAATTCCCTTTCTCAAAGAACTTTACATGAGGTGGAAGGGACAGCAGCCTCTTTCTCTGATAGTCATGACCTTAATTATCTTTTCTCTACTGATTTTCTTTTTTGGTAAAGAGGCATTTTCCTTCTCTACTACAAATACCTACTGGGGGCATACTAGAAAAACATTTTCTGTTTATCTGAAAATGAAATTTAACTTGGGGTCTTATATTTTTATTTGCTAAGTCTGGTAAATAAGGGGGAAGAGGGGCAGAAGGGCTGGTGGTCCCTGTCTTTAGTCAGCCCTCTATAGTGTGTGTCTATTTGCAGTCTTGTTATTTCTGTTTGAAGATCCACAGTTTGGCATGCTTATAATCTCATTTCCCAATATAGGTTTCTCGCTCATCGTGATTCAGGTGTAGAAGATTGTGCCAGTAGGAAGCATATGGGGAGAAGTCAGTGAGTGGAGATGGGAGAAAATATTCTCAGAAAAAGAGGCTAAGACCAGAAGTGGGGAGACAGGGAGAGAGGGAGGGGGAGGTATCTGCTGAGCAGCTACTGTGTGCCGGGCACTTTATGGGCATCATCTCCTTTCCTCTACACAGCTGTCTCCTTTTAGGCCTGAGGATCTAAGGCTCAGAGAGAAGTGACTTGTTCTCAGTCCCAGAGCTCAATTTGGGTGCTGCAGCTGGGATTCATCCCAGGATTTTCTGACTCCAAAACTCCTGTTCTTTCCTCTATATCATTCTTGAAGTGATTGTGAAGCAAAGGAGTTGGCTGAGATAAAAGTAGTTAAAATTATCACAGGAGATGTAAAGGCAGAGACCTGAACCCAGGTCCCCAGTGAGGGTGCCTAGGGGGTGTACAGTGTTCCAGGCACCGTCCTGAGCGAGCACATATGAACAGCCGGTCCACCCACCTGGAGGTGCCCGCACGAAGGCGTGAGATCATCTTGGGAGAGTTTAGATGTTCTGTTCTTTGTCCAGGTGATGGGGAAGCAATGGCCTGTGTGGAAGGGAGAAGGGAAGGGGCAACACTGGGAATACATTTAAAGTCTAGAGATGGAAAATGGAAGAAGAGTCACCTCTTCCTTGCTCTGTTGCTAAGAGGTAAAGTTGAGCTACAAGGGGAGGAAAGATGAGGAGGACTTGACCATAGGATGGAGATCACATCAGCCTAACATTCTTGTTACTTCTTGTTGGAATAATAAATTCTTATCTACGTAGTTTTCTTGTCTTTGGACTCCCACAGCATCATTATGTTGATAAGACTGGCTGTTTGATATATGCACGGCCTTGGGAGTGGTGATTAGTAATGCTTAAGTACTGTATGTTTTTGAGGGTTCATTTGTAGTCATTTTTATTTCAGGTCATTTAGATAAGTTGTCATCTGTATACAAGTTATTTTAGTCCTCAGAATTCAGAGTATTTGTTTTATTGTCTGTGAGATGTGTGCACATCTCAAAAACAAGCTTCATCTAGCATTAAAAAAAAATCCAGGTACATGCACATATAAGTTATTAGCATTGTTGGGCATAAAGGCTATCCCTAGGACCACAGGACTTACCTTCCAGATGTTGGAATGAGAGCTCTAGTTTATTGTAAAACATTTTTTATGGAAAACAGTCTAAGACCTTTCCATAATGATTCAGCTTCATGTTTTATTCTTAAGACCTAGGATTATTTATTCTGTGATAAACTCATTAGTCTTTCTTCCTTGTCTTCTGTTGTCAGCTGCTATTTATGAATGCTTTAAGTATAATTACCACACCTATTCCATCTCTGCCACTAATCTAGTGTTTGAAGAAGTTTACTCCTGATAAATAACTTCTGCAGATCCTGAAGTCAGGGTCACTTCTGGCCCTGGCCTCAGTTTCCCCAACTGTAGGTAGACTAGTTGGACTAGAGATTCTTTAAGAGTTTTCTGTGGACTAAA